CGCTATTAGGTTGGAGGCCATCGCTAGTAGGTTGGAGGCCATCGCTAGCAGGTTGGAGGCCATCGCTATTAGGTTAGAGGCTATTGCTATTAAGGTTAGCAGGTGGACGATCTACTCATCTCCTTGGTTTCTTCACTTTACCCTGCGATGGGCTACACCTAAACGCTCTCGGGCCATCCATCATCCAGTGAGATTGGTCAAGCGGTGAGTTGGAGTGCAGAGATCCATGTGTCACCATGTGTCTAACTTCTAACTTGGAGCAGGCGCGACAGGTTCGTGCGAGTTGGTTGTTGGCAATGTTGCAATCCACATTCACTGCTCATCCCAGTGCGCATATGATCATCCAGTCTAATGTTGAGGGAGTGTCCATAACAGGCGAGTACATGTCTGCCAGAGGAACGTGTGGATTTGAGGCTTTTTGAGGTCGCTTGCGCGAGAGTTTTCCTTGAGGTCAAGAACAAAACCCTACTTCACGACCAAAGCTGGGAGATCCTGGGGCAAAGGCTACACCAGGCACTGCAAGGTACTTCACCATTGAGCTGACCTCAAAAAGAACGGAAAGCAAACTGAAGAATGGGATCTTTCAAATTCTAAGGCGCTGGCTACTCGATTGCTACCGCCTTGTGCCAAGCGCGCAAAGGCCTCTGAATGCTTCGTCAGAAAGAACACCACAACTTTTTGCACGGCCAGGAGCCCCTAGTAGCTTCTTGTTTCCAATAGCTTCTTGTTCCTAGTAGTAAGGCCAGGAGCCCCTAGTAGCATATTTCAGGCAAGAAAACCCAACGAATTTCTGCATTGTCACTCCGCAACATGAACCTGAAAACAACTAGCCTTCCACAACATGACCAAACATTGCTTTCCGCCGGGTCTTCCTGAGCATTTCTGCCTCGCAGGCACTTGTTTGAAGCTTGACATCCTCTGGAAACGCTAGCGCAGCCTGTCAGAAAGTCTGCGCCACAGTGTCACATGAGAGTATTCACCAAAGGTAGCCCGAACTTAGCAACAGTGAACCGTTGCTAAACTACAAAGTTATTTCTAGAAGTAAAAAAAGAAACACGGGTCTAAAGGAACAAACAAAAACCAAAGCAAAAGGAGCGAAAGGGAAGAAACCGAAGCCACATCTGCTCCTCGATGACCACCGGAAGGGCTAAAGGTGCAACCAGTGCTGCTACATCATGGAGATAGACCACACCTCAATGACCCCCAGACCTATTTGACCAAAACAACAATAACACGAAAAACAAGAAAAGCCCATCACATCCCATGAAGAAAATCCTGCCTGAACCTGGGTGTGCCTCTGCCAAAAGGTGGTTCGGTTCATTCGGAGACGCACAAACACGATCTGAGCCATGGAGCTGGACAAAGCGGTCACTGCCAATCTCTGCAAGATGAGATTCTCTCGCCTTGCAAGGCGATATGTGAGCGATGCAACCAAGGAAGGCTTGGTGTGAACATGTGTGAACCAAGGAAGGCTTGGTCCAGTGTCCCTCGTGCGCAACACCTTCTTTCAGCAAATCACAAGTCAAAATAAAGATCGCACATGGGCATCAAGAGCAATCATATAGAGGATGTGATTACTTCCAATCCCCCCAAGCTTCTAAGCGCGGTCTGGCCACGCTTGAGCAGCTGATTGGGCAACAGCCGAGATGACACCCAAGCATAAGGGTCGCAAGGCAGAGGCATCCTGCGGGCAGAAGCTCAAAGACTCTAAGATCAAACAACATTTAGGCCATGGCGAGTATGGCAAGCGAGGAACTTGAGAAGAGAGGATAACTAGTTCTTGCATAGTCTACAAAAGAGGATGTCGAAAATGAAGTTGAAACACCAAGTCATGTTCCATGCATATCCATGCAATACAAATCCGCATGGAAGATCTACAAAAGTTGATTGCAAACGTATATAAATCTGTGATCGGAAATAGTCGGACTTTGTGTTGCTTTCCAGCTTGCGCACTTGCCCGTGGCAAAGCCCCCCGCCTTTGAAAGGCGTCCGATCGCCAGCAAACAGGCCCTTTGAAGTCCTGAAACACGACTGGACATTGACATCTGCTGTTTGACTAGCTGTCGTGTGACTGGTTGAAGCGAGGGAGTAGGGAAATTGGGAAACATCTGCCAAGCTACGTTCATCGCTGGGCTTCGACCGCATGAGCTCAAGCACCTGTTCCCGAGCGACCCGCAAAACAGGTCCACTACCGGCTTCGCCTCTTGGTTTGGTCAACGAAAGTGGAATAAGACGAAACACATTGTAGGAAGCCAACGACAGTTGGCAAAAACATTTCATCAAAACCAGCTAAACCAAAAACGAAACTCGGAGAGCATTCCAAGAATTGCGTGTGAGAGGTGGAGCCCACCCTTCGACCAACCCCGTTGAGCAGCACACCATAGCAAGGTCTCCAGTGTCAACAACTCCTGTGAATGATAAAGCGGTTCAAAAGACATGAGCAAAAACGGAACCTTCAGGAGCTTTGAAAGGGACAAGTTGGCCAGAACTTGAGTACTGCACTCAAACACTCCAAGTCTCCCACAAAGATCATGCCAAAGCATATCAACCAACAGTGACTTTTTCTGAAAAACACTCGCCAGAAGTCACCACTTCTTCCCAAAGCTCCTTGAGCTGTGCCCGATGATAACTTCGAGAAGGATCGTGGTCGCGATGGTCGCGACGTCACAGGCATTGCAGGAGCGCCGATGTGCATCGCTGGCGTCGCCTCGCGTGGCAGCTCTGGCATCGTAGGTACTGCCGTCTCCAGATTTGAATCGGTCGCTTTGGCCCCCACGGTGACGTCAGTCTGTGTGGCGGAGTTCACCGAGTTGCTACGTGGACGAGTGAACTGAGTTGAGTGAAGTTCTTTGAGCTCCTCAGACTCGGAGCTCATCGAACTTTCTCGCTTCACACCGAGGCTTTTGCGGAGCAGGTTCTCTTTCTTTGCTGCTTCCACCGCATACTCCTTTAGTAAAGACCCGGTCAAACCGAGATATGACTTCCCTTCCCGCAAGGCTTCCTTCACCTCTTCCAACTCAAGCTCTGCATGTGCCAACTCGGTCGCCATTCCCTAAAGGATCCCCGATCATCAGCAGCTTTGGCTGACTCGGTGATGGCTACACTGCTGGGCCACTTCCTCAAATCTCAAAGATCATCACGATTATCACGATGATGGGCATGAAACCCTGAGTTGCATTCTGGAAAGCTTGCTGCTTCCTATGCAAAAGCTACAAGCCGTTAAGTGTTGCGGCGGATCATGGCTAAGGCGGCAAAAGTAAACGTCTATGCAGTCGATGCTCCACTCCTTCAAATCTGGCAAACACCAGCTACTAAGAACAAGAACGTTACTAGGGGCTCCTGGCATCGCTACCAGGAGCAAGGGCGCTACTAGGGGCTCCTGGCCTTACTACTAGGAACAAGAACGCTACTAGGAGCAAAGGGCATCGCTACCCACTTCTTCCCACCTCTGCCTCTGCACGGAACTTGTTTCGCAAAACAATCTCGACTCTGCCTCTGCACCTTCATGCAGCGGTGTCCGCAAAAGTCAAGCGCCTCCTCACTGTAGGCATTCAAAGAGATCCACCCTGGAGACATGTGAAACGCTTCCAGTTGGAAGCCTATGCCTGAAAGCCCCACCGAAAGGCAGCCCTTAATGTCCTTCGAATCCTCTGAATGCTAAAAGGCCCACTGAATACTAATGCTCCCAGCTTTCTCTTCAGTTTCATGTGTTTGGCCCGCTTTTGAGATGCCTTCGGGAATCCAGACCTTCGTCTGTGCTGCTCCGCTGACCTAAAAAAACTGTCCTGATGCGACAGTCAAGAGCATCTCAGCAGAGGCTCAGCTATCTGAAGCTTCTCAAGTGTTTATTCAAAATAATTCTGTAGCTTCTCACGGCCTGCAATTTCAAACGTTCATTCAGAAACTCTTGAAAGCGACAAAGGTCTTCTGTGTCGGAGTTCCTAAACAAGGAAACAAGTGGGGCTTTGAGGATTTAGGGACTGGAACTTCAAGTAAGAACTCTAGCACGAACACTTTGTTTCCCATGCTGTGCATGTGCATTCTGATGTGCCTGCTCCCCGGCCTTGATCTAGGCGACTTGCACATTCTCCTGAACCTCTTCCTGGACAAGACGGCTATGCCGAGTAGTTGAGCTTCAAAGCACATGATCATACTCATCCACTACACTATAGTCATGTTTCTCTGGAGCACTGGCACTGCCAGCTTGCTTTTTTGCATGCATGATCTGTTCATTTCTCACTAGCCTCCAACCTGCTAGCGATGGCCTCCAACATAAGAGCGATGTCCCACTCATTGGAACGTGGATCCTTCGTTCGCATTTACATACTTCCGATGTCCTCCAGTCTGAGCAAGAAGTCCAACGCCTGGTCCAGGCGGACCAATTGGAGCGACCACGACGAGTCAAGGCTTCAAACGGCATTCTTCGTGCCTCTCGTGGTGTCCCTTTCGAGACAACCACTTCCACCAACCATGTGGGAAGGCCTTTTCGATCAGCAGAAAGAGATGCGATGCACTGTGCACCAAATGCCAGTGCCCGTATCCCGCACAGAACGTGCACAGATTCATACAAGAACTGCATGTTACAAGAAACTAAAGCACAGAACTTTGTCACACTTGAGGTGGTGGCCGTCCATAGGGCCAACCACTTCCTCCCCAACAGAGACGTGGCAATTGTGCCTCAAAGCTGGTACTGTGGGCACCAACCAGTCTCAGTCGAACGAAATTGACTGGGAATTAATGCTATTTGAAGCTCTCATCGGAATCAACTGACTCGACAAACTGAAGGTGGATGACTGGGCCTCTTCAGCATTTACCGTCTGCTGCATCTGCCGCATTTGCCATGTTCGAAACGGTCGCTACCGCTCAGGTCCGGTCGAGATGACACCTTCACGATCGAAGAGCGGCTTCATGAAATTCAGATCCGTCAGCCTGGGCGGCGTTGTGTTCGTCACGAGTCAGCGAACAAGAAAGGGGTAAAGTAGCGAACAAGAAGCTATCTTGGCAGGCTAGGGCCGCTAGGGCTCAGGCTTGATTTGGTTCCTAATTTTTTGTGACAATGATGTCTCCTTTCCGTGGCCTTTTCTTGAAGGCCCTTCAAATGAGTGCACGGTAGACCTTTACTTGATCCTTTCGTTATCAAACACAAAGCTTTCACGGAGTGCCTTCCAGAGCGAAGCGCATTCACCTGAGGATTGCATCATTAGACTTGAGCTACCAGCCTCCAACCTATACTAATAGCGGAGGCCTACTAGCGATGGCCTCCACCCTAGTAGCGATGGCCTCCACCCTGGTAGCGGTGGCACATGCTTTCAGACTCTCTCTTTGCTTCCTGCATTACTTGCAAACATATTCCTCTTGAGAGAAAGGACCTGCCCCATGCTCTGAACCTTATCAATTCTGTTTTGCAAGAACAATGCCATAGCTGTAGGATTTCGACATCGGCGTTGGCGATGCATTCAATGGGCAACCTGCCGTGGCAGTCGCTGTGGAATGTCTTACTCTTGTAGCAATGAAAGGTACCCTGGCCAAGAGTGAAAACACTCCTGAAATGGCACACAGAAGGAGACGCACACTGGAAAATGAGCAAACCCATGGAATTGGTTGTCCTATTCGATTCTCTAACCCCGACCAATGTGGCCAGTGAACCTCAGAGTTTGAACCCTTTGCAGTGATCTTTACTAGGAACAAGCACGCTACTAGGGGCTCCTGGCCTTACTACTAGGAACAAGAAGCTACTAGGAACAAGTGCATCGCTACTAGGAGCAAGTGCCTTACTAGTAGTAACAAGGACGCTACTAGGAACAAGAACGCGATACCCTTTGAAGTCACCATGGCCCCGGCGCTTTGCGCCACCCGCCTCGGTACCACAGGCCTTGAAGGGATACCAGCCGCACAAAAAAGAGCCCTGGCTGTGAACAGCAATAGAAGAAACATGAAACTAGGCCTAGTAGCGTCCTTGCTCCTAGTAGTAAGGCCAGGAGCCCCTAGTAGCTTCTTGTTACTAATTTAATCAATAAACCCAAATGGGCATGACTTGGGCACATCAGCCTTTGGACCTGGGCTGTTTGTTCTTGACAGCAGCCTTTGCCGCCTTGCATTCCATGGCGTACCTTTCAACAATACATTTACAAACTACTCTCAGTAGAAGCCTTCTGTGGGACTCTTCATATACCTCTGCCTCCTTGAGCTTTCTTTCCCTCAGCTATAGACTATCGGGGTATGTCGTGTGATGATGGCTCTGGCTTTGCATTTATGACGTGTTTGAACAAATGCTTGCTTTCGACCATACAGCTGGCAAACTGCTGTGGAGCGTGGCAGATGTTGCACAATTGTGAGTCCTGAGTAGGGCCACTTGCTAAGCTGCTATGGGGTGTCGCAGCCTACCAGTACTCTTTTGTTGATGTGGATAGAATGCCCGGTGACATCTGCTGGCACATGGGGATTCATCACCTTTTGAGCAAGCATTGCTTTTTGTCACTGATCCGGTGTATTGAGGAATTTTTGCAAAAAGACTTAAATCACTCCCTGGCAAACCATCCCCTGTCCGTTGGTGCAATGATCCTCGAAATGTTACATGTTGGACTTGCATTTAGCATTGCAGTGTCGCTTTGTCATGCCTTCTCCCTGGTGACCTGCAAGTTGTGGTTGCCTTGCTGATTGCGACTGTCCATAACGCTGGACTTTCATGGCTGCATCATGTTTGGCATGTCCGCATTGTACGCATGTCTGCTATGCATCATGATCCACTGTACCTCATTCCATCCGTTCATTTGTTCATAGACCAAAAGAGGCGTGCGCTACGGTCTCATGGCTACGTTCGCATTGGAAGGAGCAAAGCCACCGAACTCTCCCACCAGGTCAGAGACACGATGGCCTCCACCCTAATAGCAATGGCCTCCAACCTAATAGCAATGAAAAAGGAAACACGTTCTAATCTGTGCGTGTTCCTTCATGTCCTCCCACTGCCTCCCACCATGCTCCCAGTGTACTCTGTGGACGGTTACCCAAATCCTGAATGTGTAACATGCATCATCAAAGTCAAGGCAAACATGTCGCTGCGACTCTTCCACGAGATCTACCTGGCACATGACTGACATCGAGTATATAATGAAGGCAATAATGGAAGCAATTCCTCGATACTCTTTGGTACTGTACCGTACACCTCTGTTCGATATCGAAAGCAGCGCGTGAAGCAGGCCCAGAGCTACGCCCCAAGTCCGCAAGTTGGTGGCGTAGACAGGCCCGCCACCTGAGTCCACTACTGTTTGAGAATCGTACTGCTACTTTGCGGCTCATCTTCCAGCATAAGGTCATCATGACCATGTGCAATCAAGCCGCCCATTCGAGCATTCACCTGCCATCTGAGAAACTGAGACTTTAACTTGTGCATGCTAATAGCGATGGCCTCCAACCGAGTATGTTTCTCTTCACTCCTGTGCTTGTCCCTGCTTCCACCCTCTTCTCAAGGCCTCGATGAGTTGTGGGCCATGGTTGCTGGTGTATTTGAGCTCCACATGGAAGATGCCCTCTTGAAAGCCCAGCGCCTTGCGTGGAAATGTCAATGACAAGCTTAGTCGTCCGATTGAGTATTGGCCAAGTGAGCTGAGTGTATGAACATCGATGAAAGCATCGGTACCTTGACACTACTCACAGCCAGTTCTCGCAACTCCACTTGCTTCTTGCGAGGCCTCAATGATGCGGTGCGAGGCCTTTTGGACATGTCACTGCAAATCCACCAGAACACCAGCAGTTTCATCTTCACTGCTGTTTTTTTCCGGGGAGATTGACCGTGAAGACTAGAGGTTGGGGGTTAGATAGCTACCAGTAAGAAGACAAGGCAAAACAAGACAAGAAGCGATGTAGTAAACAGGTTTGCTAGACTTCGCTAGTAGCATCCGGACACAGTTCAGGGAAACGCTACTAGTAACAAGGGCATCGCTACTAGTAACAAGAAGCTACTGGTAGCGATGCACTTGTTACTAGTAAACCAAGCTTCCAAGAAGCATGAAGGTTCTGTTTCTGAGGCACTGACAGCAACGACGGGGACACTGCCCAGGTCTCGTTGAAGTATGGCTCCAACCTCGATTATGTCATCGCTTTATGAGACAAGCATGACTTTTGGAGACCTAGCCCTGGCAACTCACCCCTTACTCGGTCTCAGTCAAGTAGGCGGTCGGCGCCTACTTAATTGAGTAAGAGCGAGCTACTAGTAGCTTCTTGTTACTAGTAGTAATGCCCTTGCTACTAGTAGCTTCTTGGGGAGCTGGCGTGGGCCCGTTGTCAGAGACGGCCGCAAACTGCCATTCTCCGTCCGACATGATGACGTCAACATCCACCTGCGGCACGGGGCTCGGAGGATCTCTGCGAGGCCAACGAATGGCCGCCACTCGTCGAACCTAATAGCGATGCCCTTTGTTCCTAATGGCTTCTTGCTCCTAGTAAGAACAGGAGCTACTAGCAGCGTCCTTGCTCCTAGTAGCGATGGCCGCCAACCTAGTCGTCTTTTCCAGTTTTCCTGGCCTCGTCACCGTCCAAGTAACTCTCCAACAGAAAGCGTGCTCCGATCACTGAAGCAGCTCCGATGGCCTTGCCACCTGAATTTGCGACGAGTCTTGCAGTGACATCCAAAACCGAAACCGAAAGCCCCAATGGGGGCACAAACAACTGAGGTCACGAGGAAGTGGGTAGTGAAATGTAAAGAAAGATCAATTACGGTCTTAAATGTCTTAAGGTGTCTTTCTTTCTGTGCTTTTGGTGGATACAAAAAGACTCGTGACAGGCTTCGTGCCTTGGGAACCATCATCCTGGCAAATTCGAGAAGCAAACGCAAAACGGGCTTTGCGCGCTTTTGTGTGTGGTGACGTGGTTTGGATCCAAACACAGATTGGCCTACGACCCGCAGAACCTTCTCTGACCTGTCTGCTCGTGAACCATTTATCTTTTTTCAAGCAGTATCAGTAGTTGCAGCTATGGTCTTTCGGCCGCCCACATTTCAGGCAGCCCACAAAGCAATGACATGAATGCTTGCACCCGTTGGAGCCAGCATTCTTCTACGCGACTCATTGACACATATATACATGGAGAGCACTAAAGGCCATCCAGACTCTGACGTTTGGGGCTGCATTTCTGCACCAACTGAAGCACACATCTAGTCCAGTCAATACGGCGTCCTTGTGAAAGTGTGTCAAAGTACACAAATTAAATAGCAGTCGTAGGACAAATCTTCAGCATCTGTCGAGCGAAGCACTTGCTCAGGAAATGCTGACCATGTTCCAGAACCTTAGAACCAACACTTCGGACCATCTGCAGCATGCCCAAACAGCCACAAGAGGGCATCCTTGATATGCACTGTCAAATCAAACAACAGCAAACAGAAATCTTCACAAAAGCTTGACAGAAATGCCCCGTTATTGTCTAAAACGGACTGTTGTGATATTCTGGCTAAAGCACCGTCTATCAATGTTGCGGAAAGCACACGCTCCTCCTCTATGCTTCGAAGCAACCTGGGCATGGCAGGTCTGAACTGAAACGCGGTACCTGTCGCGGCCATACGAGACATGCATAGTCAGCATTCCAGCTGCAGTCAGGGAGCTGCTGAAACTCTTCCACTCCATAACCTGGGCATCGAAATGGCACACGTCAATTTTTTTGGAGAAAAGCAAACGATGGATTCTTGCCACCATTTCCTGCCCAGGTACGGTGGTGGGATGCTGGCAGAACGATGACCGCCCTTCCACCAGGCATGAGGCATTGCATCAAAATCTCCAAGGCTGCCGGACCCATCCATGTCTCGTGCACGATATCAGACCCAAGCACAACCTCCCGGCAAGCGATGGCCTCCAACCCACTAGCGATGGCCTCCACCCTACTAGCGAGAACGTGATCCCAAACGGAAAGCAAAATCCTTTTCAAGTTATGATGATTCAGCCTGGAACTTGCGCAAATCGGTGGGGGCACTCCAGTCCAGCTTCATCACCTCCACACCGCTGTCCTGTACAAACGGCCAGAGCCAAAGTCCGGAGTTGTTTGCGTTGGAGCGGTAGCCCGACGGCTTGAAAGTGCTGTAATGAAAGTGCTGTAATGACCTCTCGATTATGCAAATCGTCTTGGTGTTCCTGCTGGTGTTGTTTGCCTCTGCTTACACAGTTCTCACTCTCCCTCTCCTTGGTATTGATGTCCAGCTGGTGTAGGGCCACTGGGTCCATCTCACTGCAAAGCACATGGCGGGCACCACAGCAAGCAGCCACCAAGGAGGGCAACCCATGGAAACCAGCACCAAGTTCCAAGACCTCCACTGATCAAAACTATGGTCCACTCCGCAGAAACTCTGAATCGATGCGCAAAAAAACAGTAACAAGAAGCTACTAGGAGCAAAGGGCATCGCTACTAGGAGCGTTCGGACGCTACTAGGAGCCCCCAAGAAGCTACCAGTAACAAGGGCACTACTACTAGTAGCTAGAAGCTACTAGCAACAGTGGCATCGCTACACTTTTCACTCCACTACACTACACTTCTTCCATCGATGAACATGGTAGTGAAGAAGGTGTGTTTGTTGGCTAAAGTAGTCGCGAAAGAAGTAGTTATTTATTGTGTCTAATAGCTTCTTGTAGTCGCGTAATAAGGCCAGGAGCCCCTAGTAGCGTCCTTGTGCTTTTTCTTTTAAACAGAAAGAGAGGAAAAGCTGGGAAGGTGTTTGGTCCCCTGTGACGAGGCCCAAACACCGTCCTTTGTTCTGGTGATTCTCTATTGATTTAGCTGCGCTTCGGACTGGTGGGACTCAAGATTTCTCAACTTTCACAGACCTTTGGATGTTAATCGGACGACAAAGCGGCACCCACAGCACCGCTGCATCTGCTTCTACTTCCAGTCACTCGTCTATGGCTTCATGTGCATCGGCACCTCTTGATCCATGACCAACTCTGGACAGCTTAGAAGCAACTGCCCCAACAACTTTGAGGACGGATAGATGCTGGTGGCAATTGGCCTTGGCCATTGAACTCTCCAAGTAACTTTGACCTCCTCTCTCTCTCACACTGTTCTTTCTTCCTTTATCGGTTTCTTGTCAAAAACCAAGTGATGTGCCAGCGTGGCCATGTGCATGCACCACAACTAGAAAAGTGCTTCTTTTGGTGTTTGGTCCAGAAAGTAAAAGTGTGGGAAGTAGCAAGAAGGTACTAGGGTAGAGGCCATCGCTCTTAGTGGAGGCCATCGCTACTAGGGTGGAGGCCATTACGACTAGTAGCAAGAAGCTACTAGTAACAAGAAGCTACTAGGGTCTCCTGGCCTTACTACTAGGAGCAAGGACGTTACTAGGCGCTCCTGGCATCACTACTAGGAGCATTCTTACGACTAGTTGCAAGAAGCTACTAGTAGCAAGGTGATCCTTTTTTAGTACGTTTAGAGTCTGCATTGTTTGTACGTCAGGCTTCTGCCAAGGTGCCGTCGAATCCGCTCTCGCTTCGTGCAGTGATAAATGTGGCGAGACATGAAAAGCGAGGACTCAAGGCTCCTGGGAGTAGACAGGGTGACATTGGGTGTTCAAGGCGAAAGCATCGTGCAACCATCGGTTCAAACAACTTGTGAAGAATTTGCAACCATCATCCAAGATACGGCTGCTCATTCGCAACAAAGAATTGGCCTGAGGATCATACAAGTTCAATTCTCGGACACTTGTGAGAATTCCCCCACCGTCTCAACTACTTTGATGATTGAAACAACTGGATCCACATCACCGTCTCATCCCCCACCTAGAAGCCATTCCCGTATCTCCTGCGACCCCACCAACTCCACCAACTCAGCCTCCGCCTTGGGTTTGAGGTCTACGGACAGGCACCTCTCTGCAACAACTGAAGTCTCTATTCCTTCACATCTCCGACAGGAATTCTCAGCTGAAACCACGCACTTCCACCTTCCATCGGCTTCTCTTGGGGAAGCACCTACGGTCGCAGCTAAGGATCCAAGGACGGTCTCTCTAAGATCTCCAAGAGCTCGCTGGCGGCATCTTGTAGGTCTTGAGGTGCCTCCTTCAAAGACGAAACGGTCACTGGGCAAGATGCCTTGTTAGTGTGAAAATGAACGCCCATCGACCAGTCTTCCGGCCGGCCTTCAAGCTGAGAATGTCGAGCAGTTTTCTTTGAACTGCTGTTTGATACAATCGAGAGGACTCTTCCGCCTGGATATGTCTTGTTAGATCAAGCCTCGGGGCGCTTCTTGGTAAAGTTGGCACATGCAGAACAATAAAGAAGAAATTTGGCAGAAAGCCACAACCTCTCGAATACGCAAAGGCTGCTTCTCTAGGATTGGCTGAGTCACAGCGCTGGCAAGCAGTGTTCCGAAGGCATTGTCAAGAAATCATTCGCTGAGTGTTCCATGGCCAGCTTTGGCTGAGGCGGCTGCGAACTAAGCATCGATTCAAATCCAGGGCTTCATTCTGCCCTACCTTATTACTTTACCGTGCGATTGAGTGGGAAAAAATTGGAAGAGACCTGTTGCCAGCTCAAGCTCATGCTCTCTCCCAAAAAACTGCGCACCTTGACGATGTTGCCGCTCGACACCACCAGTGAGCCCAACTCTTGATGTCGGGCCTGTCCCGGGAGACCGGAACAAAGGGCGACCAGCTGATGCAACGAACATGTTGGAATTGAAATCTGAGCGGTCTTATATAGTTTGCTATTAGGCTGGAGGCCATCACTACTAGGTTGGCGGCCATTGCTATTAGGTTGGAGGCCATTGCTACTGCGTTGGAGGCCATTGCTACTAGGCTGGAGACCATCGCTGCTAGGCCATCACTGCTAGGTTGGAAGCCATCGCTACTAGGTTGGAGGCCATTGCTACTAGGTTGGAGGCCATCGCTCCTAGGCTGGAGGCCATTGCGACTAGGTTGGAGGCCATTGCTACTAGGTTGCGACTAGGTTGGAGGCCATCGCTACTAGGTTAGAGGCCATCGCTACTAGGTTGGAGGCCATTGCTACTAGGTTGGAGGCCTTGCTACGAGGCTGGAGGCCATTGCTACTAGGCTGGAGGCCATTGCTACTAGGTTGGAGGCCATCGCTACTAGGTTGGAGGCCATCGCTAC